ACTATTCTCTTTGAAGGGATTTTTTTCTATGAAGAAATTGAATTTCCAGGCTTGTTGAAGGATGAGCGTGTGACAGACTTCATTACTAAGGTTGTTCAAGTTATTATTGTTTCTATTTTTCCAAATATTCCAAATGGAGAAAGGGAGAATGGTTCTCCAGTTATTTGAATAAAGGCTTGTCTGAGTAAAAAAATTCCTTAATCTCAAAAGCCAGTGATCTCCATCTTTTAAAGTAAAAACTTTAATACTTAAATGTTCCCAACAAGAACGATTGATAAGGCAGTCGAGGAAAATATGTTCAGCACTTTCCACATTAGTTCTACAGATTGTGCAAGTCTTATCGATATTCATACCAATGTGAGATAAGTAGGCTCGGCAAAGTATATGATTATGCATATATTTCCAGAAGAAGAACTTGCTTTTGTTTGGGTATTTGAGATCCCAAATCCATTCAAAATCTAATTTTTGAGGACTAGCAGGATTAATGAGGGAGTATCATGATTTAGTTGTGAAAAGGCAACTAGAGGTAATACCCCATGTCATAATATCCTTTTTAATAAACTTATTAGGTAATGGGGTAGCCATAATATTTTTTATGAGGGTATTAGGAAGTTCAAAGGAAATGTTGGAGAGGTTCCACTTGCCGTCAATAATAATATATTTTATGGGGATATTAAGGTCGTTTTTATCAATAGGGCCACATAAATTCTTCCTTAGAGAACTTGTGTAATGGATCCAATTTGAAGACCAAATGTTCATATGTGAACTTCGGTGAGGATGCCATAAGATACCACTATTGCAGAAATTCCATCCCTTAAGAATAGATTTCCAAGTAAAGGAGGAGGTCTTAATAGATTTTTTATTAGTGTATTTGTAGGAGATGAGTTTGATCCAAGGAGAATTTGAATTTTGAAGTAGCCTCCACGAAAGGCCTGTTAGGAGGGCAATATTTTTGGAGGAGGCTTTTTGGATACCAAGGCCTCCTTCTTGTTTACTCTTGGTGATCATATTCCAATTTACTAAGTGGAGTTTTTTAGAGGTGTTATTACTTCTCCAAATAAAATCCCTTTGGATCTTGTCAATTTGTTTAAGAATTTTTTTTTGGAAGGTAAGTGTATTGCATGGAGTATGAGGGGATAGAATTTAGAGTGCTAGTAGCTAGGGTTGCACGACCTGCTATATTTAGAAAGGAGCATTTTCAATGGGACATTTTGCAATGGAGTTTGTCAATTATAAATTGGAAGTCTCTAGGTTTTGGACTATAGTTCAATATTGAAAAGCCTAAGTAGGTACCAAATTCATGAGTAACTTTCATTCCAAAGAGATTTGACATGTAGGTGGAGGTTTCTGGAGGAGAGAACTTTTGGAGGATAATTTGGATTTAGTGTAGTTGATTGAAAGTCCTGATTGAGAGCAGAAAAAATCCATACTAGTCTTAATGCAATGGCCAATTTTTTTATTAGCCTTTCCCATTACAGTTATATCATCGTCAAATAGGTCATGGGAAAAATATGGGCTTTTCTGAGAGATTTTAATGGGATCCCAATTTAGAACATCAGTTTGGTAGTTTATGAGCTTGGAAAGCAACTCTATGCAAAGGATGAATATATAGGGGGATAGGGGATCTCCTTGACGGATACCCCTACTAGGGCTGAAAAACTCAGTAGTTGCCCCATTAACTAGGACACTCAGAGAACTGGTAGTGATGCAGTGCATAATTAGTTTACTAATTTTTGGGAAAACAATAAAGAACTGCAAGGATCTGTGGACGAAAGACCATTCTATCCTATCGAAAGCCTTTTCCAGGTCAATTTTAATAAGCATGTCAGGGGTTGATTTTTTATATTTTCAAAGATTGTTCAAAATTTCTTGCACAATAATCGCATTATCACAAGCTCTCCTATTTTTAATGAAACTAGATTGAATGGGGCTAATGAGATGGGGTAGAAAGGGTTTAATCCTATTTACAATAATCTTTGTAATAATTTTGTAGGAAGTGTTGCAAAGACCAATTGGCCTAAAATTTTTTAGATTATTGGCATTTGCAAATTTAGGGATTAGGTAGATGTGGGTCTCGTTTATATTGCTAGGCAAACTCTCAGTCTCAAAAACCTTGTAACAAAAAGATTCTACTAAGTTATGAATGATATTTCAGTATTTTTGATAAAAAAAAAGGGTGGATTCCATCTGGCCTTGGTGCTTTGAAGGGTATAAAAGAAAAAACAGAATTTGTGATTTCCTCTTTAGTTAACACCATGTCAAGACTTGCAAGATCAAATTTGTTTTGGTTAGGAGGATCTCCTAGGGTGTTTTTCCAATGAGAGGAAGTTTTTAAAGTTGTGAAAGCTTCCCTAAAGAATTCTAGGGTATGGTTTATGGTGGAAGGGGGGTCGGTTATCCAATCACCATTAGAAATTTTAAAGAACATTATGGCATTACAACACTTCCGATTTGTGGCCATAATATGGTAAAATCTAGTATTTGCATCTCCATCATTCAACCAAGAGATCCTTGATCTTAATTTCCAAAAGTCATGCTCCATTTTCAGGATATTATTAAACTTTAATTGAAGCTTAGATTCTAGGTTTTGAAGGAAGAAACTTTAATGATAAGCGGGGGAGGTTTGGATACCATTTAAACGGGCAAGTAGGATTTTTTTATTTTTAAAAATGTTATCAAAGGATTCATTTTTCCAGTCTACTACCATGTTTCTGAAAGAAGTTTGAGCTTCAGGTAATGCTTTATTGGACCAAATTTTTTGACAATGTTGATAAAATTCGGATGTCTACACCAAATAGTCTCTAACCTAAACGGCTTATTAGAGAAATTGACATTACTAGGATTTAAAGAAACAAGTAACGGGCTATGTTCGGAGTGAGTTCTGGGCAGGTGAGTGACCATAGCTTTAGGAAAAATAGAAAGCCAATCGTTATTAACAAAACTTTATCTATTCTTTCCATTATAAGGCCTCTAGATTTTTTCCTATTATTAGTCCAAGTATATTTAGAACTCTTATAACCTAGGTCTAGGAGGTTGCAATTGTTGATACTATCCTACAAAGTGTTACTTCTTCTACGGTTTATAGGATTCCCTCCAAGTTTATCACAAGTACAAAAAATATCATTGAAGTCTCCCCCAAGCAGCCAAGGCTTGGAGTAGTTTAAATAGATTTAATATTATTCCAGAGTGTACATCTATTTTCTAAAGTAGTATTTGCGTAAACTGAAGAAAATAGCCAAATAGAGTTAAAAGGAGTTACCTCTATGTTGGCGTGGATTTCTTGATTCCTTCTAACAAATCATAAACCTTCACTATGTTGGCATCCTACAGAATGAGCTTGGCCCTCTGTTGGCACCTCAATCATATTTGTTAAAGGAAAATCGTTAAGGAGGGCTGCATGGTTTTCCATGTGAGTTTCCAACAAGGTAACCATGCAGGTTTTGTGAGTATCCACCATGTCCCTAAAGTTAATACGGAAGTTTTTATTGTTGCCACCACGAATGTTCCAATTGATAACTTGTACATTGAGAACTTGTACAATGGGAGAGGGCAATTGAGCATATACCTCTTCTCTTGCATCTCCCTGAAGAGATAAACATTTACATCATTTAGATTTGAGAATTCTATTGTCTGTTCCGACCCTAGTAAGTTGATGTCTTCTACATTCTCTACTGGGGGCTCTACGTGTTCTTGCACATTGGGATTCATTTCTTGTGGTGGTGGATTATTTGCTGGTGGAGCTGCTTGGTATTGGTTTTGTTGAAAGTGAGGGACTGCTGCCCATGGCATGAATATTGGGTTCAAGTTTTGAATCTCCCCTGGTGGAAAGAATGGGAGATCCAGGTTCATGTTCTGGGGTTGGAGAGGGTTGAAATGGTAAGGGAGATTCCACTGATTCCTCATGGCTTGGGCTTGTTGAGGAATCAAGTTTGGTGCCAATGGTTGAAGGATATTGTTCAACCATACATGATTGTGATAGTTGCTCATGGCCATATGCATTACCTCGCTGACAAGTTGTGCTAGGAAGTGAGAGTTCTGGAGGATTATCATAGTGTCTTGACCATCTAGTATCATATTGAATGATACTGCATGCACCATTAGAGCTTTTTCTATCCACGAGAGAGGTTGATGGTTTTGAGGGAGTGGTGGTTGGATGAAGAATACTGTTTGGTTTCCCTGATGGTTGTTCATGTTTGGGGGTGGGTTTGCCATTGAGTGTGCTCTTTGGTGTCTTAGAATTTGGACAAGACTGTATCTCTTTCTTTGAGATATTGGGATTCTTGGCATTTTGATTGTTTAGGAGATGATTTATTTTTGTTGTGGTGTGTTGCACAGTAGAAGGTAGATGGTTTTCAGTAGTAGTATGGCTATCTAGGGTACCAATGATTGAATCTATTTGCATGCTTTCTTTGCATGTAGGGGAATCGATTTTAAGGGGATTTTGGGTATCGGAAGGGGCAGGCACATGGAGAGCTTTATTGGCCATTTGGCTTTTGGGTGGGGGCATGTTGGACAAGTTTTGTGGGGTCCGGATTGTAGCCATGCAGTGGTTAGTGGGGGAATCTATAATGAGACAAGTATTAGTAGCAAGTTTATCAGTGAAGTTGTTTGTAGGATTATGGGTAACTTTGTAATTAGAAAATATGTTATCAACTATCATTTGCTTACAATTATGATTAATGGTTTGTATGTTATTTTTATTAGAGATTTCCATGTCAGCCACATAGTCAGTAGATGAAATAGGTGAAGACACGTTAGGGACATTGTTTAACTTAGGAGAAACTAAAGGGTTTTTAAAATATTTTTTTTATTATTTTTTTCTGTGGCAGATTTACCAAAGTGGAGAATTTGTTATTGCAATCCACCGCGTTTTTTGATCCGGATGGCAANGGGGACTTACCTGGTATTGGATAAAATGAATTTGCTTGGATACCTGGGCTTTGATATCTTCTAGAATTTCTTCCATTGGTCCTTTTATTTTTGAGAAACTTAACAGTTAGCTAGGCTAGCTCATTAGCTGAGTTGTTATTGATCCTCTCTTCAGGCATAACAGTTAGATTTTCCATCGATTGGCTTGGTGTTTGAGGTGGTTTTGTATAGATGCATTTTGAAGCCACATGACCTAATCTTCCACATTGCTCGCATAGGGTATTTTCTCCTTCGTATTGGATGGTTTGTTTGTGATGGCCAATGTTTATGACAGGAATGACCGGAATTTCCAGAGGAAGCTCAATGCATAATCTCGCATAGCGACCCCTTAGAGTGGAGGAGGTGCACACATCAACTTTCAGTAATTTACCAATAGCGTTTCCTATTTTTGCCAAGATGATTTCATCACAAAACTCAGTGGGCAATTGGGGCAGACGGATCCAGATGGCAGTGAGGGAGCTTTTAACTTCCGTTGCCACAAATTTAGGCTTCCATCTTTGGATGGAGAGGAAATGGCCAAAAATGAACCATGGGCCAGCATTTAAAACCTTAACCATGTGCTCTTGACATTTAAATTTAGTTATGTAGTAGTCTGCTCCCAAATCGATGAGAGGGAAATTTTTTATGATTTTCCAAGCTTCCTGGATTTTCTTTTTTAAGATATGATGTTGAATTCTCTTACCAATAAGCTTTATAATGAGAGAGAATTTCCAGGGTTGATAAATTCGAGCTTGGTCTTCCTCTAATAGTTGGATTGTGTTTTCCTCTATCAGCATTTGATGATTTTGCTGGGCAACTATTTCTTGGACCTTAGTTGTAGTATCCATAAATGTAGATGCTTCAGTAATAGTTATAGACTGTTGCATGCCTTCAATTAGTTTATCTTTGAAACATTGAAGTTCTCCTTTTTGGGAAGGAAGGCTCTTATCCGGTGGTTTTTGGGGGATAAGGTGGTTTAAGTTCGTAGTCATATCGATATTGAATTGAGAGTATGAAGATGTACTATAGGTTAGAGAGAAGGAAGAGTTTCTCTCTGAAAAAATGGGGACTTCAAATGGCCATTGATGTTTTTTGTTGAGAAAATCTCTCCCTGGAGGTGTTGAATTAATTGGAATTCAATTTCGTTACATATTCTCTTTAGAGTAAGAATAACCATAGTCTTTGTATTCAATTGTTTAATTCACATTTAAAAAATATGTCGTGAACTGCTATGAAGTTAAAAATACAAAAACATAAACGAAATAATATTTTGTTCTGAAATAAAATTTGTAGTCCTTCTGTGTTTTCTAAAATAAAATTTATAGTCCTTCTTGTTTTCTAAAATTCAGCCAATGAAGTGATATGTTGGAGTTGTCATGTGAATCGAAGTCCGGGACTAAGAGTTCATTTACTTAAAATTGAGGTGGTAGCCACATTAACTACTAGAAATCGTAAATCAAAGTTTTTAAAATTATTATTTGTTTGGATGGGGTGTTATTACAAATGATTGGAAATATTTTTTGAATTCATATCTCAATTTTGACAGAATTTGGTAAAGATTCGAGTTGGTTTTGGTTGGAATTTCATATGGAGACTCGAACAAAAAAAAACATAAGTTGTATAAAAAAGTTGTATTCAAGTTGAATATATAATGTACCCATTGACCAGATCTGTATATATTTTGCAAAAACTTTAGTTACCTTTTGTAAATAGGAAAATCTAGCTAAACCGGATAAATATTATCTTAATTTTGTATATATATTTAAAAGTCCCCAAAAAATTAGGTGCATGTATAATAGAATGTTTGGCAATGCTTCTAAAATCAGCTTATTTTGAAAAGTATTTTTCAAAAAAGTACTTTTGGTGACAAATAATTTGTGTTTGGCTATTTGTAACGACCCAACAGGTCATTTTGAGCATTCACACTTCGCTCGATGGTTTGGAGTCACGAGTAGCTCCAAATGATGTAAGGACTTGTGTGCAAATTTTGAGTTCATTCCGAGTTGATTTGATATGTTTCGGCGCGAGTTTTTGGAAGTCGAAAGTTCGAAAGTTCATTAGTTTGATTTGAGGTACGTTTCATCGTTTTGATATTGTTATGTATGATTTGAGGCCTCGAGTAGGTCCATGTTATGTTATGGGACGTGTTGATATGTTCGTACAAGGTCCTGGGAGGCTCGGGTGAGTTTCGAATAGGCATGGGTTGTGTTTGTAATGACCCGGCCAGTCGTTTTAATAATTTACGCCCTGATCCCCTATTAACTGCTTTTCCCGTATTTTTTTCTACAATTGTGAGTTGCCGGGAGGGATTTTTTGGAGTTTCGGAGAGTTTTGGGACACTTAGTCCCTGAATGAGAGCTTAAGTTTTGGGAATTTGATCGTAGTCGGAACAATGTGAAGACGCTCTTGGAATGGAATTCCGACAGTTTCATTAGCTTTGTTGGGTGATTCGGGTTTAGGAGCATGTTCAGATTGTATTTTGGAGGTCCGTATCTAATTTAGGCTTGAAATGCCGAAAGTTAAATTTTTGAAGTTTCCGATTCGATGGTGAGCTTTTGATCCGAGGGTTGAAATGGAATTCCGGAAGTTGGAGTAGCTCCGTAGTGTTGAATGTGATGTGTGTGCAAAATTTCGGGTCATTCGGACGAGGGTTGATAGACTTTTTGATCGAAAGCGTATCTTGAGAGTTTTTGATGTTCTTAGACTTGAATCCGATGCTAAATTGGTGTTTTGATGTTGTTTTGAGCATTCCGAAGATTGGAACAGGTTTGAATGATGTTTTAGGATTGATTGGCATGTTTGGTTGAGGTCTTGGGTGTATTTCGGATGCTCAACGGATCATTTTGGAACATGTTGGAATTACAGAAAAGTTGTAGCAACCCAGTTTTGGTTTCATTCTTCGCGTTCGCGAAGAGGAGCTGGGCTGGGGGGGGGGATGCTTCATGTTCGCGAGGGTTCTCCCGCGTTAGCGGCCTGGGGAATCGCGTTCCCGATGAAGGAAGTTGGACCCAAGTGACATTGTACTTAGCGAACGTGAGGGTCCTTCCGCGTTCACGAAGAAGGAATATCTAGGCAGTATTTGAATAGCCCATCTGCGACCCTTCTTTATTTTTCCACCATTTTTGAACGGGATTGAATCTTTTGAGGGAGATTTTTGAGGAAACCAAAGGGGAATCATTCGAAGGTAACATTTTTGACTTCATAACTCATTTATATGTGATTAAAGGTCAATTAGTGGTAAATAATTTGGAAAAAATCAGTGCAAAATGGGTAATTAGGGCTTGAGATTAAGAGACCTTAAAATGGGTATTTGAGGGGTCAATTGAACCCCGATTAAAGTGTTTTTGTTATGTATAGACTCGGGAAAGTATGAGGGTTCCAAAAATGTAAATTTCACCCGATTCCGAGACGTGGGCCCGAGGTGTGTTTTGGTCATTTCACCTAATTTCGCGTATTAGCTTAGAATATATTTGTAGAATCAGCTACTTGAAGTGGTATTTACTTTCTACAATTGAATTGAATAGATTTGGGCCATTTAGAGTCGAGTACTCGTGGTAAGAACGTAATTTCGAGTTGATTTTTGAGCCGGTTCGAGGTAAGTGGCTTGCCTAACCTTGTGGGGGAGACATTCCCCTTAGGATTTGGTATTATTGGTAATTGAAATGCCTTGTACATGAAGTGACAAGTGCGTACTTGTGCTAATTGTTGAAAATTCGGTTTTCATTAAGTAATGTTTAGTATGTTTCTTTTCCTGTTATACTACTTGCAAATTTAGGCATGTTGTTAGCTTAGGAAAACATGTTAAATTGACTTAATTGCCTTAATTGCTCAAACTGCCCTATTTGGATTATGTGCAGCATGCTAGGTTAGTAATACCTGTCGTACCTTGGTATGGAACTTGAATTGAACTGTGTACTCTTCTTGTTGTTGCTCTGTGTTTACTTTGGGACTACGTGATGGTATCTCGGGAGATCCCCCTGTATGTTTACATTGGGACTACCGAATGGTATTCTGGGAGATCCCCCTACATATTTACATTGGAACTACGGGACTGGACCTGGTAGATTCCCCCTATACTGAGTATTTACATTTGGGACTACGGATTGGTATTCCGGGAGATCCCCTCGCATTATGAGTTGGACTACGGGACGGTATCCCAGGAGATCCACTGGATTTTTATGTTTAGGACTATAGGACGGTATCTTGGGAGATCCCCGATTGTTATCCTTGTACCGAGTTGTACCTCTTTCTGTGTCACTTTGCCTCTGTGGTAGTTGTTGTTGCCCTTATTATCCTGTATTTAATTCTTATTATTATCTTTCAACTGCACTGCTTTATCTTATGCTGTCATACCTTATTTTTTATTTAACCTCATTAGGTCCAGACCTTCCTCGTCACTACCAGACCGAGGTTATGCTTGGCACTTACTAAGTACCGTTGTGGTGTACTCATGCCCTTTCTGCGAATGTTTTTCATGTGCAGATCCAAGTAATTCCACTCAGACTTATCACGCTTGAGACGAGGCACTCGTAGAGACTCCAAGGTATATCTGCCGCGTCCGTATACCGAAGAGTCCCTTTCTACTCTCCCTTTTTTATTAGCCCTTCTGTATTTTCGTTTCTTGTTAGATATTCTGAAGTTAGATGCTGATAGACATTCAAAGGCTTGTGATCATGAGATTCCGGGTTTTGGGAAATATTATTAGTTTTTGAGAGTTGTTATTATGTATGCCGAGCAACACTTTAAACATTGTTCCATTTCACTATTTCGGTTTTTATTTTATTATTTCTTCCGCAATTATTGTTTATATTCTACATTGTTAGGCTTAGCTAGTCATAGAGAATAGGTGCCATCACGATGGTTCATGGAGGGAGAACCGGGGTCGTAACAAGTTGGTATTAGATCTCTAGGTTCATAGGAGTCATGAATCACAAGCTCGTTTATTAGAGTCTCGCTGATCGGTACGGAGACGTCTGTACTTATCTACGAGAGGTTATGTAACTGTTAGGAAAATTCCACTTTATTTGATTTCCTTGTTGTGCGAGATTTTGATATCACAATTCTAAACTTCTATCTTCTATTCACAGATGGTGAGGACACGTGCTACCTGAGATGATCAGGCACCCGCGCCCCCTACTACAACCATCAGAGGTCAGAGCCGGGGTAGAGGCTGAGGATGTGCACGTGGTGTAACACGAGCACCCGCACAAGCTACCACTGAGGTACCACTAGCAGTTCCAGTCGGAGTCCAAGCACCTGATACGCCTACTGCTACTACTACTCCAGCTTTTCAGGAGACTCTTGCGCAGTTCATGAGCATGTACACCACTTTTCCTCAGACAGGGTTGCTTCCCCTTGCTGCAGCCATATCTCAAGACGGGGGAGGAGCACAGACTCCCGCCGCCTGCACTCCTGAGCAGCGAGTGCATGTTGATCAGGTCCCAGAGATTATTCCTGTACAACCTGTATTCCCAGGTCAGCCCAAGGACAGGGCAGCAACTTCAGAGGATGAGTAGCAGAGACTTGAGAGGTTCAAAAAGTATGATCCTCCGGTATTCAGTGGGTTAGCATTAGATGATGCCTTGGGACTTCTGTAGGAGTATTACCGCATCCTCCGCAGTATGGGTATATCAAGATCAAGTGAGGGTTCTGTCACTGCCTTCCAGCTTTGAGGGGCCACCTATGAATGGTGGCACACCTATGAGTTAGACAGTCCGGATGAGGTAGCTTCACTGACTTGGACCCAATTTTCAGATATGTTCCTGAGAGAGTTTGTTTCTCAGAGCCTTAGGGAAGTATGGCGCACAGAGTTTGAGCATTTGCGCTCGGAGTATGTTGTTCGTTACACTATCTTGGCTAGACATGCCCCAGCCTTGGTTTCTACTGTTCGTGAGAGGGTTTACCGGTTTATTGAGGGGCTTATTCCCAGCATCAGGTCTAGCATGGCTCGTGAGTTGGAGATGGATATTTCTTATCAGTAGGTGGTGAGCAT